TAAATGTAAATTGTGACTCTGATGAAGAGATAATAACCAGGATCGAAATATCACGTAAGGCTTTTATGACCTGGAAACCAGTTTTATGCAACAGAAACCTGTCAATGAACATTCGTAAGAAGGTCCTGAAATGTTATGTGTGGTCCATCCTATTGTATGGTTGTGAGACATGGACGTTAAAAACCACAATGCTAAACAAGTTAGAAGCATTCGAATTGTGGTGCTATAGACGAATCCTGAAGATATCGTGGGTTTTGCACACTTCCAATGACGATGTTCTTCAAATGATCAATTCAGAACGTCTGCTCATAAACACCATAAAGAGGAGAAAAACAGAATACTTCGGCCATATAATTAGAGGACCTAAATATCATCTACTTCGCCTTATAATACAAGGAAAAGTAGAAGGAAAGAGATGGATTGGTCGAAAGAAACTTTCATGGCTGCGTAATATCAGACAATGGTGTAGTTTCACAGTAGAAGAATTATTTCGCGCAGCAGCCGACAGAGAAAGGTTTCAGGAAATTGTAAACATGATGACGGCCAACGTCTGAATACGGACACGGCACCCAAAGAAGAAGAAGATAAGTGTAAAGAATAGACATGGAAAGATAGATATACTCATAAAGAAGTAAGTAAGAATAAAATATGAATTGATCAATAAGCGGCGTTCATATTTTGACCACAGGATATTGTACAAACTGTGCTCAGCTTGACAACACGTACAATGCCATCATTTAGAAAAGAATAGCGTCGAATCAGTAGAATTATTCGACCTACTAAACTAGAAAGACTATGTCAAACACAATACCGTTGGACCTTTTTCCTATAAGAACTCCGTGGGTGCAAAAAACAAGAAGAAGAACAGCGTCGAAATCTCGGCGTGGTGTCGCAGAAGAAAGTCTTCAATGACAGCCGGGAAGTAATGATATTTCGACGAGCGCCACGGTAGGAAAATGACAGTTTGGTGAAAATTATAAAACAGTAGACTCCCTCTATAAGGAGAACTGAAATGGCAGACTAATTAACTCGTTATAAGCCGATCTCGTTATATCAAACAACAATAATACTGTACATACATGAGAATATGTAGTTTTCGAAAACATTAACTTCATATAGTGAAGCCATTCGGAGCAATATAAGATGCTAAATATTGTTTGAATATCATTTTTGAAAAAAAATTGTTTACTTTTATTGCCAATGAAATACATTAAAACAAAGAGAGTTGCTTGCTGTTATTGTCAATGATATACGTTAAAAAGAAGAAATTAAAAGAAGAATAGTGCTTGCCAATAAGTGCTACTATGGTTTGAGAAAACAGATGGCCCCAAAACTGCCCAGAAAAATTAAAATCACCTTATATAAAACACTAATAAGACCAGTGTTAACATATGGGTCGGAAACGTGGTCACTTACAAAGAACGACCAAGAACTGCTTAGATGTTTCAAAAGAAAAAAGCTAAGGAAAATATATGGAGGAGTCCAAGAACAGGGTTTGTGGCGTAGGCGCTACAACTTTGAGTTACACAGAAGTTTTGAGGAACCTGACGTTGTAAAATTTATTAAATTAGCACGCCTTCGATGGATAGCATGTCATTAGACGAGATGAAGATGCAACGATCAGAAAAATTTTCGACCGAAGAAGACCAGTGGGAAGACGATCCAGAGGAAGACCAAAACTTAGGTATCGAGATGACATAGAGGATGATCTAAAATCCATCGGAGTTAAAGCATGGAGAAGAGTTGCCAGATACAGCGGCGAATGGGAGATTGTTCTGAAGAAGGCTTTGGCTCATGACGAGCTGTAATGCCACTGATGATGATGATTCAATTTAAAGTAACTAAGTTATTGAAAATATGACTGACTGATTCATGATTGGTTTGCCTTTAGATAAAGAAAATTTTTATTTTAAATGTACGAGGTAGGTTTTAATGACTTCAAAACAATATTTCATTATGGACGTATGACTGTGACGAAATCTATCTTTATTATTCAAAGTAAATGTCCGTCTCCTTATAGTTTAGTTCATTTTGTTTTTCAGATTTTATTTTTTTACTTTATTTATGAAAATACATTCATTCTTACGTATATCTGGGGAAAATTTGTCGATAGATAGTCGAATCCAGCGATTATTGTTCGCTACGTATTTACAGTAGAACCCCGTTTAACCGAACTAATGGGGGCAGAGATGTTTCGGATAATCAACTTTTTCGGTTAAGCCATGGTTATGGAGTTTGAAATATTTTCTAGCCAAATTAAACAATTTACACACGTTATTTCAATGTAAAAACCTGTATTAAATAAGTTACATGTATATACATACATGTATGTACAATACTGCAGCTGCATTTTAAAACAAAAGTGGAAACAGTATTTAGTTTAATTTAAAATAATCAAACATCGATTTTTGCGTTTTATTTGTACATCGTTTCCGAGCAGCCTTATCTTGCCATCTCTTCATAAGCAACACATCAGCGGGAGTGGCATCAGATGATTGCTCCACAAATCGAAGGGCCACCTACAGTAAAAAAATGTTAGAAAATTGGTAACACCTAAAATTAGAACATTTTAAAAAGTTTGGATGTGCTGAAAATAATCTTACCTTAAGTGCATTGAATGCGTCTTCAGCTGATACTCGGCTGAAGTCACCGTGGGTCGTCTCTGCATTAATGTCGTCTGCATCAGGCGCTGCCTGCTGCTCCGTGACCATATCCACAATTTCTTGGTCGGTAAGCTCAAGTTCAGAATCGTCTGCCTCTAACCAGTTCAAAATTTGGTCTTCTTCAATTTTTTCACAACCTGGCACTTTATTCAGTAGCTCTGAGAGATTATCGAAATCCTCGTCTTCCCATTGATCATTTGAAGTTGAAAGGCCATCGAAGAGTTTGTTCCAGGCTTTTTTTAGTGTGCTAGATTTAACCTTGTCCCACGCCTGAGCACACCAGTACACCACATCTTTCATATTCACGGTTTTCAAGCACTCTGTAAGATCCTTATTTCCGTGTTCACTTTCATGTAAGATGTGTCTCAGGAGGCATCCTCTGTAGTGGCGTTTAAAAGTCTCGATGACGCCCTGGTCCATTGGTTGGATGAGACTGGTGACGTTTGGTGGTAGAAATTGCACTTTAATGTCACCATCTTGTAAATTCCCAGGGTGACATGGGGCATTGTCTACAAGCAATATAGCTTTGAGTGGAAGCTCTTTCTCTGACAAAAATTTTTTTACTTTTGGAACAAACTGTTTGTAGAACCAATCTCCAAACAAATCTGATGTCATCCACGCACTTTTCTGTGCTCGATAAAAAACTGGCATCGCGATAGGAGCAATGTTTTTCAGAGCTCTAGGTCTCTCAGCTTTTCCTATACACATTAGAGGAAGTCTGAATGATCCGGCCGCATTTGCTGTCGTAAGAATTGATATTCTCTGTTTTTGCATTTTGTGCCCTGGTGCGGAAGTTTCTTTAACACAAGCTAACGAAGACTTCGGTAACATTTTAAAATTCAAACCGGTTTCATCGGCATTAAATATTTGGTCGTATGTATAGCCTTCAATGATTTCCTCAAATTCTGACTTGAACACGTCTACTGCATCATGATCAGCTGACATTTTCTCACCACATAAGATCAATTGTCGAATTCCGTACCGGTTCTTAAACCTATCTAGCCATCCACTGCTTGCAACAAAGTTTTTCCCATCGTCTCCTAAAAGTTGAGCTAACATCTTGGCTTTTTCTTGAAGCACTGGTCCTGATAAAGGCACACCTTTTTCTCTTTGTTGTGTGAACCACAAAAACAAAGCTTCATTGACTTTTTCAAAGTCTGAAGTTTTCATGGTTTTGCGGTTGGGGATTTTAGTTGAATGTTCAGTAAGTTTCTCTTTATTCTTCATCCAGTCACTTACAGTAGAAACACCGACATTGTATTCCGCTGCTATACATCGTAATAAAGCACCGTTTTCAACGCGCCTAACGGCTTCCAGTTTATCGGCTATGTTAATAACGACACGTTTTCTTTTACCGGACATTGTTTTGAAAACTGCCCTAAAACCACCTTATGAGAATCTGTAAAGTTTAACAAATTCAAGGTTCACACTCAACACTAAAAACAACCTAACTGTGTTAAAATAAAACACTGTAAGATTAAATTACTAAAAGCTTAAGAACTGAGGAGAATTTATACTTCCACAAACTCACTCGTTGAATACAATAGCACAACTGAAATGACAATGACGACGTTGCGATGAGTCAAACCGGGTAGGAGGGAGGAGGAGTAACTGCGGAAACACTTGCGAGCCACGCGCGGTTGAGGATCTCTCGAAGTGTGGCCACCCACAGCGCATAGTTTCGGTTTAACAGGGGCGGCGTTAATTAATTTAGCTGCTTTTTTTTTAATTTCGCATCGTTTCGCTTTTTTTTAAATTTCGCAATCGTTTCGGTTAACCCGAGTTTCGGTTGACCGAAGTTCGGTTAAACGGGGTTCTACTGTATGTATTTCTGAGAAGGACAATATGAATGATTGTGTGTAATTTACGTTTTTCCTCAAGGTAAAATTTTATAGTCTTTAGAAGCGACCTTCCCTCCACTAGGGACTTTTGTTATGCATTTTTGTAGCTTTAACGTATTTTTGTAGTTAGTAGCCAGCGAAACTAAGCTCTGGAAACACATGTAGTAAGCAATAAATAGTTCTATGAAAAAAATTGTCGTAGTATATTATTTTAATTTGATAAAATAATATTTTATAGCAACCATATCTCACAATAAATTAATCGTAGGTCAAATCAGCAAATATTTAAGAACATAAATGATGATGTTCATAATATAATTTGAATGTTCGAAATTGTCTGTGAATTGCTGAAAGACCGAACGCATTATTATTGAGTTTTAATCGAGAATTTAATAAGTAAACTATTAAATAAAATTACATTTCGTAGGGTTTTGTGTTATTTATTTTACGAAATAGCCAAAAATGAACCAAACTAATGATTACATTATTGTTACAGGAGGTTCTTAGAACACTTCAGTCCAATAAAGATGAACCGCTGTCACGTAGTGTTGGTCCATTTCCCAGAACCGATGACAGTTTGTATTGCGAAGGCGTGCAACTTAGGCCACCCAGGGTAGATGGCTTGAGACAGTCACAAACCATAGGCTGTGATCCCAGAAGGTAAACTTTTTTATACACTAAAGGATGTTTTTTTAGAGGTATAGAACTTTGAAATGGAATAAAACAAAGATGATTTTTGTAAATTGACATGAAATTGACTTTATTCAAAAGATAATCTTTTGGAATTATAATTTAGATATGATTTCTGACATATGACCGTCATGGCTGGCTCTGACGTAGTCTAAGTCCAGAAGTCTAATTTTCGATCAATTTTTCCAATATTTGTCGCCGTATATCGTCAATAAGACCTCTTTCAGACGAGGATACTGTATGTGAGATACTGTATGCGAGATACAGAATTTGTGTCTGAAAGCGTTCATTTAACGTAATGTTTCTTCTGTATCTGGCATATGCATTCGGTATCTCGCATACTGTATCATTCGCGCGTCCCGTGTGAAAAGCTCCATTTGAGTCTATATAATATATTCGTCTAGGATACGCGTATCTCGGATACAGTATCCTCGTCTGAAAGGGGGGTAACGCGGCGATTGTTGTCCTCCAAGTAGTCAATCGTTTCATATTTATCAGACCCATTAACTGAAGAGAAGAATCGGTCGTGGGTGGGCAACATATGGAAAACTGAAAGAAACTTTGAAACTTTGAGAAAAGTATTTGATCAATGCGTCCTCCCAGTGTTGACACAGGGAGCAGAAGCATTTACCTTAACAAAAGCCTCGGCTATCAAACTGAGAGGTACACAGAGAAGATCCATGTTAGGAATCTTCTTCTTCAAGTGCCCTGTCCGTTGCGAACGTTGGCTATTAACATGGCAATTTTGATCTTGTTTGCGGCGCTTCTGAATAGTTCGACCGATGTGAGCCCGAACCACTTCCGCAGATTTTGGAGCCACGAGTGTCTTCTCCTGCCTGGCCCTCGCTTACTGTTTATTTTTCCCTGGACAATCAATTGTAGCAGACGGTACTTATCGTGTCTCAATATGTGGCCTAGATATTCAAGCTTTCTTTGTTTAATTGTATTCACGATCTCTTTCTCCTTTCCGATTCTTTGGAGCACCTCTATGTTGGTGACATGTTCGGTCCAGGATATACGAAGAATGCGTCGGTACACCCACATTTCGAACGCTTCTAGTTTCCTCGTTAGCGTCTCCGTCAGCTTCCAGGCCTCCACGCCATACAGCAAGATAGGAAAAATGTAGCATTTAACTAGACGTAGTTTTAGGGGAAGAGACAAATCCTTGCTTATGAGGAGCTTTTTCTTATTGCTAAATGCTGCTCTAGCTCGTTCTATTCTCGCCTTAATTTCTATGGTCTGTTCCCATTTTGCATTTACGTTGGTGCCAAGGTACACATAAGATTCTACATGATCAATTAGTATGTTACTTATCCGTAATTGTCGAGCAGGTTGTTGCTTTTTGCTTATCAGCATCCACTTTGTCTTCTTGAAGTTGAGGCTCAGGCCGTATTCCTCACTAACTGAATAAAGTCTTTCCATTACTTGTTGTAATTCGTCTATGGTACTGGCAAGGATCACCGTGTCGTCGGCATTGCTGAAAGCCGACGACACGGTTTCCTTATATTGTTCGTTAACTCGCCGTTTATTTTTATGCCCTCATTTGCATTTTCCATACATTTGTTAAATATTTCCTCGGAATACATATTGAATAGGAGTGGGGATAATATACACCCCTGACGGACACCTCTTTTGATCTGCACGCTTTCAGTAAGTTCGTTGCCAATTTTTGCTCTTGCTGTTTGATTCCAGTATAGGTTTGCCACAATTCGAATGTCCTTGCCGTCAATACCTGTCTTTCGCAGAATACCTATCAATTGTTCATGATTGACATTGTCAAATGCTTTTCTAAAATCTACAAAGCACAAATACACGTCCTTATCAACGTCTCTACACCGCTGTATAAGCACTTGGAGAGCGAAAATTGCTTCTCCAGTTCCAAGTGCTTTCCGAAAACCAAACTGCGAAAGTTTGTTAGGAATAAATGTGCAAACTGCGAATGTTAGGAATAACTCTGCGAAACAAAATAAAAAAAGAGATCAGGAAAAGAACCATGGTGCATAACGTCATCGAAAGGATAGCCAGATTAAAATGGAGATGGATAGGACACATATCTAGAAAATTTAAGAGCTGACTATTTAAGAAGGCTAAAAAAAACTCTACAAGAGCAACGCAAGATAGGCGGGGTTGGAACCACGAGGAAAAGGTATATAATCAGCAGTGGACTTTGTAGGATGGATGGTGATAATGATGATGAGTATCAATCAATTTAAGAAGTTGTCGTTTGGCTTCCAATCAATACACGTCTATTTGTCCATAGTTATGATTTTATTGTAAAACCCAAAAATCCCCGATAAATATCTAAACTTATGCTAAAATTTAGTAGGTACCCTAAGGAGTGGCAGAAAATTTGCCACCCAACTTGTGACAGGAAACTATAATATGGATAAATCAAAGTTTTAGTGTGTTTTAGTGGTTAATTAACAACAAAATTCACCGGTACAACACAGTGGCCTATTTTTGTTCGCACCATTTCTGTCATAATAGGTTCACGTAGAAAAATGCTTCGGTTAATCGGACTCTTTTGGCTGGTGTATTTTTTTAACAACAAATTTTTTGCTTTTTTATTTTGATTTGATGAAGATATACTTATATTCGGACACTTCTGCTTCTAATTAATTACTGGACAGTGTTGCGTTCTGCACATACGATGACCTCAATATAACAATTAAGGTCATCCTGAAGGGGGGGAGATATTCTGTTCAATCTAGAACTCGCTGGTTTCCCCCTTTCGAAATGGGTATGTATATTCAAATAAAAGAAGAGAAATGAAAGGCAGCGGACTGTATAAAACTCTATTTTAAAAAGCTGTAAAATTAAACATAAATATACATAACCAAATATACCATTATAATTAAAGAAGAATATATTACTTAAAGAAGAAGAATATATTACAAACTTAACTATTAGCTACTAAGAAACAACAACAGACACACCAAAAGACACACCATAAGACAACCATAAACCAACCAAAACAAAAATGTCGATTCTATAAAAAACCACTGACAAATCAAAAGACAAAACCTACCATAGCCGCAAACATACTATACATAAAAAGATAAAAGATAAATTAATAATCTTACAAAAAAATCAACCTAAATAAGGATATAATATTTTAACGTTGCAAAAACAAATTAAGAATGCGGTGCATACAAATAATTAATAAGCACAATTATTAAAACAAAACATACAAGAAATAAAATCGGTGTTAACAAAATACACAAAAAATATACAATACAGTAAATAAACCGAAACAAATGCAAAATGTCCAATTAACAATGTTCAATCTCGATCGCGGCACAAATACGATGAAGTTCCAAATATCAAATAAATATACCAAGTGCTACTTAATATATGCAGCAACAAATTAATATGGTATATTGTTTCTTACCCCATGAAAAAGATAGCCCCAACGCTATCGCAAATTATGTCTTCAGCGACACTTCAACTACCAAAAGTTGTGATGCACTTTAGCGTCTTTCTTGGCCGATGCGGAATCAGGTACTCTTCGTCTTCACATTGTTCGCATACACATGTTTATCGTTTGAGAGATACTTTTCGACTCTGGTTTTGTATTTTGTATGGAACGCAAACCCTTATTTCAGGTACACACAAATGTGCTGATATTTCGCAGATGGCCCGCCTTGCAATCTTTAGCCCTTAAAACGGCTGTGTCACTTACAGACAAATCTGGTTTAAAATATACGAGGAGAATAGAATTTATCAAAAAGTCTGGTAATACATTTACAAATATTTATATACAGTTGCGAAACTGCAACAGACAGATCGTTTGCTAAAAAAAAAACAAATTGTTCATGTTACAATAATTTTTCTTATTCCGAATGTTGATAATAAGAAGTCATGTTAATTTAAAGCATTTTCAAATTTGCTTTGTAATTCTTCAGGTCTTTTTGAACAAATGCGTATTGCAAGATTATCCTTATTATGGTCCTTCTGGGTCAAATCCTAGAAATCTCGTAGACTTTGGTACATATATCATGTCATAAGTTACTGTCAAATCTACAAAGGTTCTATTATATTGTGTTCTTTTACTGCGAGAACTTATGTGCTACAGGACTTGCCATGCCCAAATTCTCGTTGTTGGGGGTGAGGTATTTGTCCCTTCCTGGTTTTAGTGGTGATGGAAAGAATTAGTGATCGCAGTGAATAAAAATCATGTTTAAAACCCATTAATGTAAGGCCGATGAGAAACACACACTACACTCCTTTATTATTTGTTGTTAAGTGTAATTGGTACAACGATTAGTCAGTAGATTGCATTTGTTTAAATTGTTGGCTATTATTTGAGATTTGAAGTCATCGCAATAATTTACATAATTTTTTGTTAATAACAAATAACTAATTATTATTAGTTCATACTGACAATGCTACTAGATGTATAAATAATAATTTATAAATATGTCTCATTTAAAAACAAGAGATTACCTCAATGAATCATAGAATCAGTTTGTTATTCTGTAACAACCTTTATTAATGGGGTGCCTTAGAAGCGAGCGAAACGTAAATATTTTTGAAGAATACACCAATAGTAAACTAGGTAACATATTTCTTTGTTTTTCTGGTTTATTGTATATAATTTATAATGTTGTATATAACAGTTTTGTGACAGAAAAGTTTCAATGAAACTTAATGGTAATTCTATAAAACTACTGTATGCATGTTGTATGGTATCAAATGTCTGGCAGTGGAAAAAAATAACGAATGACCTTTGAAGAAATGAAAGAAATTATAGGTGTGGCATCAATTGATGAAAAAAAGAAGACTGCTACACTTAAAAGAGCAGTTAACTTTAACTAGGAACATTTCTCCTTCTTTCAGGTTAGGAATCGTCATCGAAATTTTTGGGCTAGTCGATGGCACACCAAGCTCATGGTTTTTGTAACAAAACCAGCTTACATTTATTGTGTATAACCGAAAGATCTATAGCAGTTTTATTTTCCAATGATTTATTTTACACTTAATTATTTTTTTCAGGTTTCAAAATTTTGATATTAAAGGCTGTGTGAAGATACAGTTTTCTGATGGCAAAGAAGTAAAATTGAAGAAAAATGAATACATTCAGTTTGCCAAAAATTCGATCAGCAAATGCGATAACACGCGTTGTGAGGTAAATATATTTAACTAACTCAAGCTAAATTGTTTATTGTTTTTCTCAATAATTTTGTGCAACTAAATGGAATACATATTTTGACAAATTGTTACTATATTTATATGACATGTTTAGGAACATGTTTTGGGTCATTATGTTTAACAGTTTCATTTGTGTTACCAGGTATTATCATGATTCCTTTCAAGAGCTAAATTTCTCTTGAAACACTTGTCTTAGATCAATTGTTATTTCTAGATTTGCTAAGACCTTTCCTAGTATTTTATCGCTGCTACTGCTTGCTGATTCAAGAGTCATTTTGACCAGCTCAAGAGTCATTTTGACCAGCCGTACATATTTCTGCGAAACGTCAATTTCATTCAGTTCTATACAAGTATTCTCTATTTACACCAGCGGTCGAGGAACTTTTTTAATCATTACTCCAAAATATTTTTGTGTAAGTTGATATTACCCCATGGCGAAGAGCAAAAAAAAACAAATCGCCTCTTTTTAGCATCTTTTATATTATAGCCCTCATGGTAATTTCAAAAAGAAAACAATAACTAAAATTTAAATTAAAATTTTATTAAATTAAAATAAATAAAATAAATTAAATTAAATTAAAATTAAAATAATATCTAGTAATATATAACGGTAATAATAGTAATATATAACGGTAATTATACTAATATATGTAATATACAGTTGAGGAAATAAAATTCGCTCCCACAGAAAATATTAGACTCGAATAAGACAAGATATCTAATTCTGATTGAGATATCTGATTCTTGTATCTAATAAGACAAGAAAAATATCATATGAATATTATAAAATAACAAGAAATTATCATTTACTTATATTTTCTGTGGCGGCGAATTTTTTTTTCTTCAACTGTATATAACAAAATTGAAACCCATTGAGGTACCATTGAGGGTTGACAATTTGCGGTACTGTAACAAATTATAATAATAATAATAATAATGGTGGTACAAAAAAAGTAGAATTGAAAAAATTAAAAAAAAAGAATAATTGAAACCATTTTTCCTTCACGTTTTGAAGAAATGATGTTGTTTCATGTTCGATACAATTGCTTTAAAATTGGATGCAAGAGCGATTTGAATACAATCTTCGGCGTTTAATTGATTTCTGTTCTTCTTTTTTATGTTCATTAGATTGGAAAAACCTTGTTCGCAAAAATATGCCGTTCCAAATGACAACAATTTTTTAAACGCCTCTTCATGTGCAATTTTGAAAGCCTTTTCAGCTTTTGACATCCAAAAAGACGACAGATTTGGTTTACTCTCAAATTGAATACGTGCTTTAGTATTAGATGTTCAAGAATTGCTTCTGCCAAACCGGAAGATTATTCTGATATCATAGCAATTTCAGCTTTAAAGGATCTACAATCCAACTGACAGTATGTGTATCAAGATCTAGAAAGTAATTTGAAAACTGCTTTCTGAGTTTGATAAGATGTCTTACAATTGTTTTCTTGATGTCAGCAAAAGTTATATTTTCGCAATCTTCCAAAAGCAAAGCTAACTTTGAAAAAGAAGCTATCTTGTTTTGTTCTACTTTCTGTCTCTAATATTACAGCTTTAATCCAGACGTTGACACTATTTCTCTTGCTGAAATGATATTAATATTCTTTCCATAAAAGAAAATTTTTAACCATAAAAATTTCGACTTCAGTTTTGAAAGTCGATACTCGATTTAGTACATAGTGTTTAGTGCATGTCTCTTGATAAAATTTACAATCTTAATGACATCATGCATGATGGCTTCCAGCGTAGGTTCTAAATATTTGACCATAAGGACCTGGCGATGGATCATACAATGAGTACCTTCAATGCTGCGTTATTTCTTTTACAAAAGCCGAAAAACCAGTAATATGACCCAGTATAGCTGGAGCTCCATCCAAAGATACAGTTCCATACAAAGGAATACAGTTTTTCCATTTTAAACTTTGGGCATTGAAGTATTCATTTACTTTATTTTAGACATCAATTCCACGAGATCTCAACTCGAGAGGAGAACAAAACAGCAATTCCACATCAAAATTTGCACCTTTGTAGCGAACATATACCATTAGCTGTGAATTGCTACTAAAATCAGTTGTCTCATCAAGCTGAATAGCAAAGTATGCCCCTTTTAATGCGAAAATAACATGTTCCTTCACATTTTCTACTAATATAGAAATTAGTTTTTTCACAATTCTCACAGACAAGGGCACTGAATTCAGTTTCTTCTCTTCTTTTTGACCAAACATAATTTTTGTCATTTTTATAGCAGCTGGTTTAACCAAATCTTCACCAATAGTGTATGGTTTCTTATTTCGAGCAATCAATCAGGCTACTTCAAAGCTAGCCCTTGATGATGAATGCTGATCAAATGTACCAAACAAGCTGCTATTCAATCTTTGTCTTTTAGCAGATATTTCTAAATTTGCAAAGTATTCTCGCGGTTTTGGAAGACATGTGTGAATGCAAATTATCTAAATGTTTCTTCAATTGACTTTTTTGAAAGATTCTGAAGTCAGTAGTGACTAGAGAACACTTAAAAATATATTTTTAATTTGCATATGAGAATATTTTTGAAAGAAAAAAATTAATTTTTTTAAATTTTTAAGAAATTTAAATGTGTGGTGTTTATTATAAAATGGGTTCTTCTTCTTCTGGTTCCTATCCGTTTCGGATGTTGGAAATCATATTGGCAATCATAACCTTGCTCGCTGCGGCTTGAAACAGCTCCGTTGAGGTTTTCTTAAACCATGTTCTTAAATTCCGCAGCCATGATATTCTCCTTCTACCGGGTCTCGCTTACCTTTGACTTTACCTTGCAATATAGACTGTAGCAGGGAGTAACGGTGTTGATTTCTCATAACGTGTCCCAGATATTGCAATTTTATGGGTTTGATCGTAAACACAATCTCTGGTTCCTTCTTCATTTTTCCTAGAACTTTCTTGTTCGTGATCCTTGCTGTCCATGATATTCTCAGCATTCTTCTATAAAGCCACATCTCAAATGCTTGAAGTTTTTTAATAGTGGTGTCTGTAAGCGTCCATGCCCCGTACAACAACACAGAGAAAACATAGCATCTCAAATGTCTCATTTTTGTATCAAGAGATATGTTGTGACTTTTGAAGATGGCGCTCATTTTGTTAAAGACCGTTCTTGCCTTTCCTATGCGGCACTTTATTTTCTGTAAATTGCTCCACTGTTCGTTAATAATAGTTCCCAGGTAACAATACTGTTTTACTCGCTCTATCTGCGTCGCATTAATGTATAGATGAGCCCCGTTTATATTCTCCTTGCTGATAATCATTTGTTTCATTTTGTGGGTATTAATGTTTAGTCCGTACCGTTGACTGTACTCGTTTATTCTGTCCATTAGCCTCTGAAGTCTCTCTAAACTATCTGCTATCACCATGGTGTCATCGGCATATCTAACATTGTTTACTCTTTCACCATTTAGAAGGATGCCTTCGTCTATTCCGTAAAAAGCCTCGTTAAAAATTTTCTCTGAGTACATATTAAATATCAACGGCGATAGGATACATCCCTGTCTAACTCCACGTAGTATTTTTATGTGATCTTTTTCTTCTCCGTTAATTTTCATGTATGCGATCTGATTCCAGTAGAGTTCTGAAATTATTCTGAGGTCTTTGTCATCCAGGTCTGCCTCTTTTAAAATGTTTATCATCTTTTGATGTTGAACTCTGTCAAATGCCTTTTCATAGTCGATCAAGCACGCGTATACGTCGAAGTTAACATCCCTGCATGTTTGAATCAGTACCTGTACTCCGAAAAGTGCCTCTCTGGTACCCACTGCGTTAATGAATACGCAGTGGGTACCAGAACAGAACCAGAACCATAAAATGGGTAGTGGGTAAAAAATATTATTAATTCAGTAGTAAGCAAACATAAAATGTTATTAACGCACATATAGTATTAACGCACTTTAAGAAGTATTCATCTCCAAGAGCCATGCGCCGTTTTTGCGTTTCGTTTTTTATTTAACAGTTCTTTCAATTTTTTATTTAAGTTTATTTTTTTAGGTGCTGAAACCTGGCGTTGTTTTAAAGGGAATCAAACTTATTAACAAAAAAGAAGTCGAGCTAAGAGATACAAACAATCAAACATGTTTACTCCTGTTTGATTCTTCAAAAGATGCAAAACTCTTTTTAGAAAGCGAAAAAGTAAGCTACTTTATCGACACTGAAAAATCAACTATAACAAAAACGCTCCTTAAGCTATTAGGTAAACGATCTAGTCGAGAAGTACTCGAAAAGAAAGGAATATACCAAAATGAACCCATATTTGGTAACACTCTGAGAAACATTTATTCTACCGAACACGGAGTACCTAAATTTATTCTGAAAACAATGGAGTTGATAGAAAGGCCAGACAACATTACGAGCTTGGGCTTGTATCGGACATCGGGAAATTTAGCAACTATTCAAAAAATTCGCCTCGAAGTGGATAAAGGCAACTTGGATATTTTAGAACACTATACAAAAGATCCAGACGTGTTAACCGGAAGTCTAAAACTATTCTTTAGAGAATTGAAGGAACCTTTGCTGTCCTGTAAAACATGTGACAATCTACTAGGATTTATAAGTAAGTTTTTTAAACATGGTTTTTGTTTAATTCTTATCAAAATCTATACAGCTCATTTAAATTTATTTATCCTTTACTCATTACTGTCTATTTTGAAATAATGATTGTTGTGAAAAGTCCTAACAAATTATTTGGTCACACAACTATTAAACTTATTAAAATATTCTTCTAAAAAAATTCACTTCGTCCGAATATCCTACAAAAATTATTATTTTTGTAGGATGAAACTTCAAGAAGAAGAAGAGACATGTCTCCAGATATTAATACTTCTCTTGAAGACCAATTTTTTTAGGCATGCGGCCATGTTTAATTTTTATATGTGATCACATTCTATTCATTAATTAATTCATATCACGTGACACCTTGCATGACCCTGTACGTTAAGCCGTTTGGTCGCTATATACCTAATGCCTCTTTGGCAATCCACGTATTATAAGTCATATTATAATTCTAGCCTCCCTTTGCAATGGCCCGTCATAGATCCTTGTACGTTAAGCCGTTTGGACGCTTCCACACCTAATACCTCCCTCATACGTTGCGATTCGACGTTTTTTAATACCCCTTACATATTTATTTCTATAAGAGTTGTACTCATAGACACATAGCTACTTTACTATTAGAATAAAATTAAAAAAGTTTCATTCTAATATGTGTTGTTGACTTAAAGTAAAAGTATAATGACCTCATTTCTGTTACAACAAATATGTTTTGCCCAGCTTATTTAAAATTCATAACATGCAATAATCTAATTATTTAACAAAAAGAAACATCGTATTCTTTGTACTAATATAGATTTAACACTTCCTCGTTTCAACTCGTTAAAGATGCAAAGCACATTTCTAAATATGTTTTTAACAATTTAATTCGTCACATAAAATTTAACTTGATACAAACATAATTTTATTTCCTCTAACTGCTTTTAAGTCAGCCACTTAACTTGTCATTAGCTGTTTTGATGCTGTTCATTATTCAACTGTTTACAAGTTTTTATGGACATATATTTTAATAATTATAGAATTAGTACGGAATTATTGGTCTTTAGAATACTATCGCCTTAGCTCATACCAATGATTAAGCGAAAAAAATTGCCAGAATTGAAACAGTCTTATTATTTCATATTATATGAAATAGATCAGTTAAAAATATTTACCAAACAACACGTTTCAACTCTTACCCTTGCTTGAAAAGGTTACTATGTTTTAATTGATATTTTCTTATATTTTCGATGATGTTAACTAGCGTTTTTTTAATTTGCGGCCACTAAAGATCCCAGTCTGAAACTTTGCGGTTAATAAATGTTTCATATTGTGGGTTGAACGACTTGATAAACTGTTTAGTGAGACTCGATTTGATGTGTAGAGGTGACAATAAATTTTTTCCTATAAAATTATGCACAGCTATCTAAGTGCCATTACACACGCGGCGGTTTTGACCGAAAATTAAATCGGGAGGTTGTCTCTGTCGAGTGAATGAATGTGAATGAGTGAATGAATGGGTAGTGACAGACCGAGCGGTAGAGACCTATTTCTCGAGCTGATAGAACCCAAGTACAAAATTAAGAGATGAGGATCAAATGAAATCTGCAGTATGAAAGCGGGACGGTTTGGGGGAAATACGGTAGTACTCAAAGATACTAGAACAGCGATTGACACACTGGTGCAGCAGGCGGTAGAGAAAAGTGAAGAAAAGACTGGTGAACTGTAAGGTAATGGCACCCAGATATCGATCAATATGCTGCTATTCGTGTTTAAACTTCGGGCATACCAGGGACTTCAATAGACAAATGTCTGAATTGTTGGGAGGAAGGGCATAGCGTTAGGGAGTGCAACAATACGTAAAATTGAGGAATCTGCAGTGAGAACCATAGGACAGACTCGAAAAATGGTCCTGAGTTCTGGAAGATTGCTTGGAAGCTGATAAAGATTCAAGGGGAAGGGACGCAAGTATGCCGGTAGAAGGAAGATTGAGCCTTTGAATTCAACTCTACTAGGGATGAATTTAAAGGGTTGATAGTAGTGCAGGTGAATTTGGGGAGATGTAGGGTGGCATATATGCTCAAATCAGGGGACAGGAATTAAAAGCTTACCGGTTGCTAGTGTCCAAGCCAAATAAATAGATTATGGCCCAAGGAGGCTGGATCATGGACAAAATGTAAGATGTAGCAGTTTATATTTATAAAAATTAAGAATTTGATAGATCTCAAATATGTAAACACGAATGGGATAATGAACATCCGGTTCAATGGAATTATTCAAATATAGTCCTAAAAGAAACGGATGGTAAAAAGAGAAAAATCAAAGAATCGGCTCTAATTATGCTAAATGAGACCAAATGTGTCGCAAATTCCTCTGCAGAATGTAGTAGGATCGGGTTACCCATATTAAAAGAGGAAGTTATTAAAAGGAAAATACCAGTATTAGTAAGTCAGTAACATATAGAGGAACAATATGTTTTTTAAATAACAAACATATAAAATCAGAATTTGGTGTTTATTGAAAGTAATCTAAATGCACGACCAAATACTTACCATGTCGGGATAGTATTATGAGGTATTTTTCCTGGTTTTTCCCTCATAATTTACTATGGAATCACTAACAGGAGAGTTTTACTGTCATCATGGCATGTGTTTTGCTATGATTTTTTCTGACGAATATTCTTAGGTTAAAGTTGATTTCATGTAATCGAATGAACTATCTTACAAGTAAAGTCATTCCAGGAATGCAACCCAACAATATTATCAATATCATTTTAAAGTCGTCTACTTTAAAATGTATAATGTATGTCTGTATGTCGAGAAAATTAAATTATTAGAAGAATTTTTCACCAATACACAAAAAAAAACAAAATTTGTTTAATTTACTAATGTTTTGTATTTTGAAAACGATTTCCGAAGTGGAAATTGAAACTTCAATAAACTTACTACAACCTTTAATTGTGGCTTATTCCCATTTAAATAGTAATTACTTTAAAATGCCACAAGAAAATAGCCTCAGAACAGTTTTATTAAGTGATTATCAATTCAATAATGAGCTTGATATTTAGGCTAATAATAACCTAATTTACTCTCAGAAATTCCGATATTTATTTATTCTTATGTTAATTGAAACGACTTACTGGAATTTTAGCCATTGGGTTTTTTATTACAACGTTTTACTATTAATCAAACAACCATGTAGTAAATTTCGTCTTTTAATACACAGATAATCATAGTGTAATTAGTATCAGTATGTCGTTTACAAAGGAAGGACGTACTGTTTGACCTTCTTTATTAGTTAATTTTCTGTCACCTGAACAAAGTCTGCAGTGCTTATCCGTTCCTAATTTACCGTGTCGTTATCGATTAGCTTAGATATTTTGTTAAAATTATTTTCTGTAGTAACTAGTATTTTATTTCTTGATTTCGGTCACCAATTTCGTTGAATATTTTCCGTTGTTTATATTTTCGATACCGTGAAATGGGGTGAGATTAATCAATTTTAACTTTATTTAATTTATATTTTAAACGTTTTTGTGACTGTTCTATATTTAAACACTTCACGTGATATATTAATATCTAAAAGGTAGAGATTTAACACTAGTTTCGGTATAATTATTAGAAAATCCACTTATCTAATAAAAAAAAAATGATGATCAATCTTAGACCCGTACTGGGGTGAGATTGATCATGATGATTTTATAGCATGAAACAGTTATGCTTTTAAATAGATAAAGATCAATCTTAACCATGACTAATTCGATCAGACAGTTTTTCGAATTTTTACAAAGGGGAGAGACTGATCATGCGGGGTGAGAATGATCACACTATTTTTATTGCACTATTCTTTATTTATACAAAAAAAAAAAACATATTTTAACAACTAAAAATGTAATTCAGAACAATTTATAAAAAAAGAAAATTTGATTTAACATTCTTTTATATTATTTTCTCCGCGAAAATGATATTTTTGTATCCTATCAAGAAATCGTCTCAAGTGTCAGATCTGGTAGTAAGGCAATACTTTCTTGAAAGGAATAGTGGATATGTCACTTTCAATTATTTTGAAAATCTTTCTTGATCCTGCTGATTTAAGACCTTGAACTTCGATTTTTTCTCCTTCTAAAACTCCTTTTACCTGACAGACAGCGAAATTCCATCTTTTTCCGAGAACCAGACAAGAATCTCACTAATATAAATTTTCTCTTCGTGATATTTTCTAATGAAGGACAGGAGTATTCAACCTCCTCTTCATCAACATCACAGTTCTAAATGTCATCTGTCAACTAATTGTCAACTGTCATCTAATTCCAGGTTTTCATTTGAATCATCGTTACTAGACTTCTCTGATAGTTTAGGTCCTGTAACACTTTGACCAGATGCATCTGCTAACAGTTTTCTTTTACGTCTAGGTTTTTCAGAGCCGGAATTGTACCTCAAGTCTTTCAAAAAGTTAGTAAGAGAGCATCTAAGCTCGGCTTGATCAATAGCGTCTTATGGTAGCTTTTCCAAAAACTCGATTGGAGTTGAATGGTGCAATGCCACATGCTTCAAAATCAGAAAGCCAGAGATTTTGGAATTTTGCATTTTCCATGATGTTAAGGTTTTCCTCCAGCTTTCTTTTAAGAGCCTGAAGAATGCGACATCCAATGTCATCCAGAGTCAGAATTATAGTTTATTCGTCTTCCGGGTTTGGACCGTGTCATTTGTGAGTGACCCAAAAGTGGGTTCATCTCGACGTTTCGCTACAATTGTATGTAGCTTCTTCAGGGGAACAAAGAAAAAATAAATCAAAAGACAGGAAGATAAGTAGTTAGCAGCGGTAACTCAGTTACTCAACGCAACCAGAGGCGAATACTAACTACCAAGATGGGCATTTGGTCACAGTAACTCAACTACTTAACGCAGCCAGAGGTGAAAACCAAATGCCAGGACAGGGATTCACGTCCAACAGCTCAAAACACTAACGCGTCGAGAGGCGGGGAGTGAATCCGACGATTACTGACTGTATTCGTTATTTCTCTCTCTGTATGAGAGAGCCCCTGTTTTAGGCTCCTTGCCTCTTCAGGGAATGGGGTTGTTTTGGTTTTTGGGGTTGTTTATTCTACCGTTAATGTCCGGGGTGGAGTTGGTTTTGAGGCTGAGAATTGGTTTTGCCAATAGTCATCGGTGGTTGAGCGTTTTTGTTACTTTGACTGCTGTTTTTCCTTACTCTGTCTTCACTTTAATTCACAATCGCGCTTGTCGGTCACCGCTACCGCTCTATTTATAGTCGCGGTGACCTGCCGTGTCGGGACGTATCGGCACACTCCGTGGCGCGAACGTCAAGAAGCGCGCGCTGGCCAATTATGTGGCTGCATCGTGGTAGCGGGACCGGACGGCGGCTCTAGACTGAGATTCCAGATGGGAGACAAGTAGTATCCTTCCTCTCGATTGATATTATGTGGATTTTTTCGGATCTCTAGAGATTCGTGGATTTTCTTGGAATAAAAGAAGGGGCTCTTAGAAATAATATGGGTTTTTTCGAACAATATGGAATGACCGGTTTCTTGGCAGTGTTCTGCAACTGCAGAATGGGAGAAGACCTGATCGAATGCATCTTTGATGCTCTTGAATCCGAGTTTTGACGGAACGACCAGTTTCGCCAATATACACATGTCCACATGAACAAGGAATAGAATAGACACCACAGGAAGATAGCTGAGCTGTTGGACGTGAATCCCTGTCCTGGCATTTGGTTTTCACCTCTGGCTGCGTTAAGTAGTTGAGTTACTGTGACCAAATGCCCATCTTGGTAGTTAGTATTCGCCTCTGGTTGCGTTGAGTAACTGAGTTACCGTTGCTAACTACCCATCTTCCTGTCTTTTGATTTCTTTTTTCTTTGTTCTCCTGAAGAAGCTACATACAATTGTAGCGAAACGTCGAGATGAACCCACTTTTGGGTCACTCACAAATGACACGGTCCAAATCCGGAAGACGAATAAACTAGTATGCAAATATTATATTATTTTTGTCACATTTTCTCAGAACATCTGGGTTAAAATGAGATGCTAGGTTGTCCCATATTCACACCTTTTTTCCATCGAATCGCCTAGCATGTGGTAAGAAGCAAGTGACAAACCAATCATTGAATGTTGACATATCAATCCAACCGTGGAAAGTTCTATTATATCGTGTCCCCAGTAAGCAACATGGCTGTTCGCAGCACGGGCTGCCCGTGGGACCATTTTCTGTCCAAGTATCCCATAAATTTTCCGCCTTGTATATGACGTAAGGTGGCAGAAGTATGCCTAAGCCATATCCACAAGTCATTATCGATGTAGCAGATTTTGAATGGTTGCATATTTTTTCGGGATATTTAGTACCTCTTTGGTAGATGCACAATTTTTTTCCGTGGTCATCTGAGACGTTGAACTCGTCGTAATTAAAAATATTTTCAACTGGAACATTTTCAATCGTTTGTTGTAAATTGTCAAAGTATTTTTTAATCAGGTCCGGAGATAATTCTGCTCTGCTTTTTTTAATATTAGTTGCTAATCTTTTATCAGCATTACCTCCGTGTCTCTTCAACAAGCTATTTACCCAGTCAATTCCAAGAATATTCTCCTTAAATCTAAATACACTTCTACCAGTTTTGCCCGAAAAACTTTTGATGAACATTCTCAAATCCATTGCACTTAGAGGATATCCCCAATCTGCACACGTTAAAATGCTATTTATAATGGCCACTTCTTCTTCATATGTGAATACAGATTGTCCACCTGTTTTCTTAACCTTCCTTCTAATGTACGTTCCGTAGGACAATTTGTATTTTTTTGCGTCTTTTCTTAGCGATAATCCATTTTCCAATACATAGTGCAACGCCTGATTAACTTGTTCTTCATTAAAATTGGATAAAATTAAATCCCATAGAAAGTTTGGTGAGAGTTTCTAGCGCCAAATGCGGGCGGACCGAAACTACTTTCATTTGGCGTCAAATTAAAAAAATATACTCTGAATTTTAGGCGCCAAAATTCAAAAAGTATGCTTTTGATGGAGAATAAATACTAACTCTTCTTCTTTTAGTTTTCGCATAAAGCAAGATAAAGTTTTGGTTGTTGCAAAAAATCGAGGGTTCTTATTTACTAAATTGTTTTTATATATTTATCCATTGTGTTTACCGTATTGCTCCATTTATGCTTTTAAATATGTCAATTTTAATTCTTCATTTGGTTTTTGAATGAGTTAGTACAATATTCGCTGGAAAAAAATCAGGCATATACATACCATCGTTCTGTGAAACTGTATTTATGATTAAAGTCAACATAGAAGTTAAATTACAAAATATTATAATCGAACATTATTACAGTTCTTCATCGTCACTGCTTGCAGTGATTTCATATTTTGATGATGTATCAGAATGTAGAGTTCTATAGAAGCGATGGTACATAGTAGGAATTTTTCTAGTATCGAAAAGCCAGTTAACTTCTTATCTATTGGCAAAAGATTTGTGTATACTTTAAATTCAAATCTGTCAATAAGAGATGGACATCCCCTTTTTGCTTTTGTTAGATCACACCTGTTAGAATCGGAACTTAAATCACTTGGAATTTAAATTAAAAAAATAAGCTTGGTGTGTTATACGAAGTACTGATTTCCTTTATTTGACTGATTTTGATCATTCCTTTTCATCGTCAGTTTTCCAATTTTTGTTGCCAACAAGGCTTTTGAAATCTAGGAAGTCTTATGATAATTCTGTTACATTATATACGTTTCCTATAGTTTTGGCCATTATTATCAAAGTAATTCATTGTTTAGGAATATACAAAAGACCGATTGAGGTTTTTTCGCGTTTTAAAATACAGCATTATTTGTATAATTTTCTTTAGTAAAGAATTAGCAACAAATATCCTCCTCCTCCCCATTCCTTAAGCTCTTGTCAGGGTGTGGGTATACTAATATGTATTATTTGTGTTTAGTTATATAACAGCTTCTGGATATGTATTTTTATGCTGATATCTGAAATGTATGGCAATAATCAAATATCTTTTCTGTTTTAGAAACGGACATGAATTACGGCAAGAAGGACAGAGACAACATCCGCACAATATTAACGCACATTCCCGAAGCCAATTCAGAAACATTGATAACATTGATAAGACATTTAATAAAGGTAGTGGAATTTAAAGAACAAAATAAAATGGACGCTTATAACTTAGCAGTGTGTTGGGGACCGACAATAATCTTTGCCACAGATACTGCTGTAGCTACCAAGGATATAGTCACTCAGAGCTCAGAAGCAACGCAATTATTCGATGCACTATTAAATTTCTATATTAATAATCCAGAAGAATTAGAGTTGAGGAAAAGGAAACACGATGTATTCGATACTAATCGAAATATGATTCATCGACAAGATTCCAAAGACAGTATTCAGAGTTCAGATAGCGGCCACTCGAGCAAAAATAAAAGTAAGATTTTTTAAGGTCTAATATTGTATTAGTGTTTTCACCATTTTGTTCCCAATATAAAACGAAATAAATGAATCAAAATAATCATTATCATCATCAGGTCTTTTCATTTCGGGTGGAATGTTTGCCGCTCTTACTTAGAGCTCTCTGATTCGCTTATTGCGGTGAATCAGTCCTCATTCCACTTGTATGTTGTCAAAGTTTGTTGTATGACTTGACTTTCGTTACAATTTCCTCCAATTTCTCACTTCCAGAATTTCTTTTTGGGTCTTCCCCTTGGTCTTTCAGTTGCTGGTTTCCATCGGGTGATCTGCTTAATCAGTAGGTCGTTTTTCCTTCACTCTATGTGTCCCAGCCATTTCAGCCTCTGTGCTATAATAAATCTAACCATATCTTCTCCCTTCATTATGTCTCTTAGTTCATGGTTCATTCTTCTAATTTCTCCGTTGTTCATTCTTATCGGGCCCATAATTTGTCTAAGGATTTTTCTTCATCTTTTTCGGTCAGGCACATTGTCTCAGCTGCGTGCGTAACTACTGGTCTGATTGCAACTCTGTATATTTTTAGTTTTGTATTTCTGGATAAGTTCTTGTCCTTCATAAGCCTATGATATCTCCAGTATGTTTCGTTGCCTGCTAGTATTCGTTCCGTTACTTCTTCATTATAGTTGTACTATAGATATCCATAGGGATATTTAATATAGTAGTTTCTCGTTGCCTTCTATATTCTTATGCCGTTGACCAAACCACTGATTCTTCCGCCTTTGGGGCCGGTTTCTCAGTCCCAGGACAAAAGAGTGCCCTACCTCCTACCAACTCGTCCGCCGGAGCCGTTGGTCAGCAAATGGGGGATTGTTTATACCGGCAATCATTCGGTGAATTACCTGTTGGTCCACGGGAGGGATTTTATTTCCCTACTACCCACCGGTAAACATATTAACTGTCTACATTTAAAAAAATGTAGACAGTTAATACAGTGTTGGATCTCTACGATTATTTTCTGCACTTAAAAGTGCGTTTGAGCATACTCCTAACGAGATGATCGATTTCCTCTTCTTCTTCTTCTTTAGCCTTCATTGATCCATTGTTGGACATAGGCCTCCTCCAATTGCTTGTTTTTCTCTTGAGGTATCTCTTATCTCTTCACAGGCTACTCATACCTAAGTGTCGCTAGAGTCTATGAGGGATGAAGTAAATGGAGTAATCTTCGATACATAATCTTCGTTTCAGACATGTTCAATGGGTAAAAGATCGGGTGATCTAGGGGACCAAAAGAAGGAAAACAAGAAATCGACTTGATTGCCTTGAAAATATACCAACATAATTCTGGATGTATGTGTATCTCTTTTCTTGAAGTTTATCTAAGTATTTTATATGCAAAAACTATTTTAACGGCAAGTTAGTAGGTAGAAAAATCGGTCAGATAACTAAGCGGGCCAGGCGGACGAATTGCATTACGGTCGATCTGCTACTTAGACTAGAATACTCTGTAGTACTCTGCTTCGTTTCATTGAAAACATTAAAATACTTGTAGACATGCCAACTACAGGCATATAGTTGTAGACATGTGTGTTTCTTTGAAGTTTTCTTTTTGTGTCCTTTTTGTGCAGTTATTTTTCTTAAATGGTTTTATTGTATTAATTTAAAACTAATTATTTTGTCATTTAAAATAATATATTTCGATTTACAGGTTCAAGTAATGTAAGCCTTGACTCAATAGATGAAGTTCTTCGAAAGACAGTAGAATTAATTGAAAACCATTTAAATACCGAAGGTATATATAAGAAGAATGGTTCGCCGGAAAAGGTGCATAAAATAATCAAGAAAATGTTGAAAAAGAAATTAGGAGATTTGGATAAATACAAAAATGATGTGTACGAATTGACTGATGCTTTAAAGAAATATTTAAGGGAAGGTTGTGATTCTTTGGTAACCAAAGAAACTGTAGAATATGTAAATAAGTTATGTGGTGAGTATTCGAAGCAAAAATATTCTTTAAATTTAAGTTTTTATTTTTTTTAATAAAACAAAATTTTTTTGCAATATATTTTTTCGAAAAATAGGTGTAAGTCAAGTTCCTTTAGTCGTTTTGTGAATCTAACATGTAGTTGTTTAGATGATGTATCAATCCTTTAATGTATAAATATAAATACTAAAATTTATATATATTTTTTAGATAATACTCAATGGTTAGAACACAATACGAGGCAGAGAGTGATAACAGTCGTTTCAGAAATACCGAAAAAGGATCTTTTATTTTTAGTACGTCATATTACGAAACTTGTTAAATACGAGTCATCTCATAAAGTACCTAGATCCGAAATACTTTTGATCTGGTAAGTTTGGTCATACTTCTTACAATTGTGACTATATTCTTGAGTTTTTGGCATATCTAGAATTGCGTTAGGCTTTCACGGCCATCGTCTAACTTATTAAACTGTTTGTTCGGGCTGTTGGGCCGTTGTCTTCTGTTGAGATTAGTTCTCGACGTTTCGCCAACACTAGGGGTTGGCATCTTCTGGAGATGTTGATGCTTCGCTTGTAAGCAGAAACTGACGACGCGTTATAAATAAAAATAAAAATAAAAATAAAAATAAAAATAAAAACATTTATTGCCCTAATAATATATACATGTCAACTTAAGATATTTTAGCCTTCTTTCTTCCTGATGTTCCGCTTTTGCACCATCTTCTTCTGATTTGATCTCCTTTCGGCATCCTGGACTTCTCTGGGTGGTTTCCTCGTCTTTTTCTGTAGGTACTTTTTATGGCATCGTACCTACTTCCCTGCTTGGCTGTTTTCCGGCAACCATCCGGCTAGACCCTGATCAGGTGGTCGATCAGTCTGTGGGTTTGTCTATGTATCCTCTGGATCCTGTTCTTCTCGAGGATATCCCTGGTCTTTTGGAGTCTTCTTGTGGCCTGGTGGAAGAAGTATCTTGTCCTGTTCTCAGCCACCTCCCTCAGTGGTGTGTACTGGAGCCTTTCTTTGATGGTTGCATTCGTGATTCTCTGTTCCCATGGTGAACCTTCGATTATCCGGTAACACGCTGTCTCTGTGGTCTCTAATTTCCTCCAGTGGGTCTCCGCTAGTGAACTCCATACTGGGACTGCATACAACATCACCGACCTCACGTAGGCCTGGTATAACTGGATTTTCTTGGCCTTCGATAGGGGGCTGGACCTGTGAACAAAAGGAAGTATCAATTTCTTAGCAATATTACCTTTTACCTTGGTTTTTTCTGCGTGAATCCTGAAGTTAAGCCTTCTATCGAGGTGGACTCCTAAATATTTGACTGAATCTGCTGCCTGTATTCTGTTTCCTCCTACTGTTATCTCGTTCGGTGGTGGTCTCGTCTCTTGGGTGAACATGATGAATTGTGTCTTCTCCGCGTTGATTTTTATCTTCCATTTTTCAGTGTACTCTGTGATTTTTTCTAAGTGGTTTTCCATATTTCTTATAACTCTTCTGTCATCTTTTCCGGATGCATAAACCGCTGTGTCGTCTGCATATAGAGCTGTGGAAGTTCTATGATCTGTAGGTAAATCTGAAACAAATATATTGTAGAGTAATGGAGATAAGATGCTGCCCTGAGGCATTCCTTCCTGTATTTCTTGTATTGTTGACATCTTTTGGTCAGCTGAAATTTGAAAGGTTCTATTAGATAGGTATGTATCACATATGTTAATTAAGTAATGTGGGAGTCTAGCTCTGTCCATTTTGAAGATAAGTGCCTTTTTCCAAACCGTGTCGTATGCCTTTTCTATATCCATTATAGCTAATCCTGTTTTTTGTTTCCTGTTGAACTTGATTTTCGTATCGCTGATTATTCTTGCCAGTTGTAGTTCGCAATTTCTTCCTCTTCTAAATCCGAACTGGTCTTCTTGGATAATTCTTCTTCTATCAGCATGTTTTGTCAGTCTCTTGAAGATTATTTTTTCTAGTATTTTTCCCATTGTTTCTAGGAGAGAAATAGGCCTATAGTTTTCCGGTCTTCTTCCGTCTTTCCTGGGTTTTAGGAGGGGAATAATTTTTGCGTGTTTCCAGTTGCTTGGAAAGTGTCCTTTTTCCAAGCAAAATTTGTAGATGTAGTAGAGTTGGACAATTATCTTCTTTGGAAGTTCCTTTAGTGTGATGTTGTGGATTCCTTCGTGTCCTGGGGCTCTGCTTCCTTTAAGTTTCCTGATGATTCTTCCTACTTCGTATGGGCTGGTGTAGTCTTCTTCTTCTATTTGGAATATGTTTCTTCTTTTTATTCTGTTGTATTCTTCTTCTACTTCTTGTCTTGTTCTTGCATCTGACATGTTTTGGTTTTGTCTATGCGTAGCTGCTAATCTTCTTGCTATTGCATCCACTTTTCCTTGTGTTTCGAAGTGAGTTCCTTCTTCGTCGATGATTTGTGGCATCTTTTGTTTCCCTCTTCTTTTGGCTTTCAGCATTTTCCAGACGTTTCCATGTTGTTCTTCAGCTTTCCTTATGTTGTTATGCCATTGGTTTTCAGTAAGACTCCTCAGTCTTACCCTTATTTCTTCTGATAGTGCGTCTCCATAGTCCTTGAATTCCTGTCTTCTTGTTCTTTGGAATGCTCTTCTGGCCTTATTTCTGTCCTTGATGATGTCCTGTAGTTCCGTAGGGATAATTAGTCCTTTGTTGTTCGTCATTGATTTTGGTACGTTGTCCTCCATGGCTTGTTGTATTTTTCTTGTTAGTTCTTCTATTTTTCCTTCGACTTCTTCTATGGATTGGAATTCTCTTTTCATCTCTATTTGATTAAGTTGTCTTCTATAATTTGGCCAATTTGCATCCTTCCATCTCCATCTTTCTACCGGTTCTATTGTTGGTAAGTCAATTCTTGAAGTCATCTTTCCTATCACTGGTTTGTGATCCGAACTGCATTCAAAGTAGGCTCTTACATCTTCTATAATGACGTCTTTTGTGATGAAAAAGTCCAACGTTGAGTTGTGTTGATCTCTCTGGGGGTTGATTCTTGTGGGTTCGTCTGGAGCAAATATCATTTTGTTCCTGTCTTCTGTGTATCTTAGTAGAGCTATGCCGGGTCTTGTATTTGTATAGCATCCCCAGGCTTCATGTTTGGCGTTGAAATCCCCCGCTAAGACGACGGTTGGTGCTGAGTTAAGCATGGCATCTATTTCTTCAATTGCTAGAATCTCCGAATGTTTCCTGTAAATAGAGAAAATATTAGTGTTTCCGATTTTGACTCCTATATTTTCAAATTCGTTTGTGTCTACGGCTATTTGGTTCCATTCGATGTTATTTTTAACATAAATAGCCACTCCTCTTTTGTTTGGTTCGTCTCTTCTTCCGATTCCATCATAATTTGTTATTCTTGGCAGTTGTGTTGTCGTCATGTAGAGTGTTTCCGAGAGGCAGATGATGTCCGGATTGTGTCTTATCACTGTCTCCCGCAGTTCGTTGATTCTTAGCCGTAGTGAGGCTATGTTGTGTTGCAGTATCTTCAGATGTTTAATTGGCATTGTAGAGATCTTCATACTTCATAAATACCATTGCTTGTTCTGCAAAGGACTTCGCTGACATTAGTTCTCTCTTCATATCCTGTAGAAGTGCTACCATTTTTTCCACGTTAACGATCTTGTTGATCTCTGCCCATGAATTTTTGATGTCCTCTGATGTGGATCTCTGTTGTGGTTGTGATTGTGTTCCTTTTGCTGTTTGGGCATAGGAGACACCGCTGAGTGTAGTTCTGAACGCAGAAGGATGTGGTGGAGGCACTACTTTTGGTTGTGGTGCGTTCCTGTTTCTTCTGGCTGCCTGTTGGTCTAAGTACTCAATGTGTTTTGCACACATCGGGTAGTTAGATGTATGTTCACCTCCGCAGTTGCAACATAGGACCTTGTTTGATCTATCCTTGGGTAGTGGACAGTTTCTTGTAGGGTGGTTTGCCGCGCATTTCATGCATCTTGGCGTTCTGAAACAATTCCTCGCTGAATGGCCGAAGTTTTGGCAGTTATAGCACTGCGTTGCTCTTGTTGGCTTGGAGTACGTGTCCCATCTGACACGTATATTTTGTAGACCGTTGATCTTCTTTACCTCCTTAAGATCCTGGGACTTGTCGACCTGTAGTAGATAGGATTTGCTGGACTTGCCTTCTTTAGTTGTCTTCATGTGTGTTACTTTGGCAACAATTCCTTGTTCCCTAAGTTCTGCCTCCACATCGTCGAGGTCCATTCCTGGGGCAGCTTTCATGACCAGTTTCTTGGTTACTTCTGATTTTCTTGTATATGTATGGAATGCCGTGTTTGTCTGTATGAAGTCATGTTTTAGTTTTTCGTAATCTTGCATAGATTTGGTGAAAATTCTTGTACCGGCTTTTCCTGCCGGTGCGATTTGGAATTCTCTGTGGCCTAGAAGTTGAGCTACATCCTTAATAAATGCAGAGTAGCTACTAATTTGTCCAGCGATGACTAATGGAGGGATCCTTTCCTTCTTTTCCTTAATGTTTCTTTCTTCAGTTGGAACCGTTTCCAATACTTGGTACCTATTTTTTGTAACAACTCCGGATCCGGTTCCGGAGCTTGTTGTCGGTTTTGGTCTGTTATCCTCATTAGAATTCCTTCTATTCCTTTTCACTGGCTGAAAAGGTTCTTCCTCCATTATTTCAATAGTATTCTCAGCCATTATGCTGTTGTCTTCCTGATTTTTGTTCGTATTTTCGTCTAAGTTATTTTGTAACTTCGAATCCTGGGCGGGACCACCTCTCCTTGAGGTGGGCCTATTTCTCCTGGATTTAAATAGGCTTCTATGAAGTGGGAAATCTTTCCTAAAAGGGTTAGAACCTGAAATTATTTTAGTTAATTTATTAGTAAATTCTGATTTATCAAGAGAATTAGTCTTGACAAAGACTAAATCACTGATATCCTTATTTTTCTCTACATGAAAAATTTCAGCCAACGTCAACCGTTCAGTTGACCGCCGACCGGATTTGGTTGGGCTAAATGTTTGCCGTCAGTCGCTGGGACCTTAGCGTGTAAGAAGTTCGTAGCTGGTTTAGACTGTGATCCTAGACGCGTCTGCACAGTAGCAAGTCTCACCGTCTAATAGAGCTCGAGCTAGGACGACGAGGATAAGTTCCTCAATTGAGGGGCTAGTTTCCAAGGATATGGTGGAATTATACCGTATTTGCCTAACTACCACATACTTTTCATGGGAAGACCAAATTTATGAACAGATGGATGGAGTAGCAATGGGAAGCCCACTAAGCCCGGTCGTAGCCAACCTTTTCATGGAGCATTTAGAGAAGAAGATAATGGACTCAGCATACAAGCCTAGGGTATGGTTCAGATACGTTGATGACACC